CATCTAAAGTTACTTACTTTTCCCCCTCGGGTCAACCAGCGGACGTCTCTCATGAGGTATCGGTCACTGAGGGAGGCTCGCGGGACCTCGCAAGTAGACGCTCAACGAACTAGAGGAAGCGGAACCCCCTGCTGTCGCCTCCTCCTCGTCGTCCTCCTGTGCGTCCTCTTGCGCCTCCTCGGTGTCCTCCTGGGGCACATGCTCCTCCTCCTCCTCACGCGATGGGGCGGCAGGCGACGGCTCCCTCCTGGGGCTGCTCCTCCTACTCCCACCGCCCACTATCTTTTCTGTGGCTTATAAGTCGGCTGATGCTGTTTTATTGTGAGAGAAAAATATTGTATCATGATTGATAAGCATGGTTGATACGATCAAGCGAATATGGTGTATATATTCAAAACAGTATCAGAATGGGGAATGTTCGAAACTGTGTATATATGGCATTCTTATTGTAGTGTGCAAATGCTGAGATTTATGGGAATAATTCTTGAGTTGATCCACAGTATTTCGATAGATAGCAGTTTTGACTAGAACTTATATATATGTAGCATTCGTATCACTCCATAGATCGAAATCTAACTACAACGTACCAAATCTAGTACTGAACGCGATTGAATCTAGTATGCATATTTTCCAGCATGATGACCGGTGATGATAACATTGTATATTATGTTCCATGCACGCGCATGTGCGGAGGGAACTAGCTGCAGATGACGGCCATGGCTCATGGACGTGTCATCACAGACCCGGCTTTGATGCGATGCCATTGGAAGATCGGTTCTTCTGCTTGCAGTGACGACGATGGTGACACACGCGAGAGCACTCCAAGGCCACTCACCATGGATAACTGTTTACTAATTCTTTTTGGATGATCTTGTCCTTGTACTGAAGATGACAGGTTAATTAATTAAATCCAAAAGGTATATATCTCCACAACACGAGCTAAAGCTTTGAACATGGCCCCTTCTTGTTTACAGCTAGCTGGAGCATGCATGGCCCCCTTCTTTTTTACAGGTGGAGCAAGGATCATGGTCTTTTGATATCTTCAGAAAAGGGGGTGAAAAAGAAAAGGATACCAACGAGCTGAGTCATGCATGCGCAGGATCAACATGGGAGCGGATTGGAAAGTGTCATGTTCTGACTACAGCGAATTAATTTCTACATCCTAAAAAAACAAAGAGAAAAAGGGATAGCACTAGTGTTAAAAGCAAAAATCTCTGGATGACAGAAAGCTGCTACTTGCATATATGGGATGGATCGGATGATCGGCAGATCACAATTACTACAAAGGACCGGTCGTTGTTTTTGTTTTTGTTTTTGTTTTGTTCTATTTTAATAATAAGAGAGAACATGGTAGTAGAAATCATCCGAGTCATCATGGTGCAAGGATGAGTCGACAGTCTTGCTTTTTGAGGTTGCTTCTTTTCCTTTCCTTCCGCGTTGAGATCAGTAGCTTTATTTGGCTGGCAAGATAGTTTTTTTGCGATTTGATGGTGCTGCTGCCTGCTAAACTGGTCGATCAAATGGTCCATGCTAATTACACGGATTTCATTTCATTTATGGAATCGTGTAGGATTACGTTCAACTAATACGGAACTACTTTTTTTTTCCAAGCAATACAGAAGTCAAGAAGTGATTTGGGACACAGGGGGATTACTTTCTAAAAAATTCACATTGCTGAGAAACTCCAGCAGTCTTCTACACTGTGTCTCATGTTGGTTTAGAAGATTCCCCTAATTAAAACCATTTTAGCATGTACAGAGAACTACTGCAGCCGACTACCTAAAGCTTCCTCTGTATTTCTTCATTTCCTTCCATTTCCATTCCCTTTTGCATACACATCCATTCTAAATTCCACGACATAAGTCCAAATTTGTAAAAATGTATTGTTAATAGGTAGAGCATAAACTGGTCAAAATAGAAGAATTCATCTCATGTCATTTTGAGCTATAATTATCTTTGTAAAAATTCCACAAGTTCTTGAGTTGTCAGGTACTAGCGTGCATCAACTAATAACTACTCCATCCGTCCGAAAAAAAAGCAAGACACACTATAGGATTTGTAGGACATGTTAGTGGTCAAGCAAAATGAATCAAAGGTACTAGTGCACAGTAATAAACAATGAAGAACAATACCATTATAGTGTCAAATGTGCTATAGTGACTTTCTTTGTAGAGCAAATTTTGAATGCTGTATCTTTTTTTGTGGGATCGAGGGAGTAGCTTGTATTGTTCATCAACTCACTGAAAGGATCAGACCAGAGCTGGTGCCGAGGACAATCGTATGTAATTGGTGAGTCTATGGATCTGTTAGAGAAAGGGTGATCTTTATTTAGGCATACCTCAATGCAGCGTCGATGGCGGCGGCGTACCAGTGGAAGGGCAGCCCGCCGGACTCGATCCGCGCGACGTCCACGACGAGCTGCTGGTAGTGGCCGGGGCACCTCCTCCTCCTCCTTCTTCTTCCTCCTCCTTCTTCCTCCTCTCCTCCTCTCCTCCTCCTCCTCTCTTTCTCCCCTCCTCTGGCGGTGCGGCGCGGGGGGCAGCGAGAGCGCGGGCGGGGGCGGCGCTGGACCGGGCGGGCGCGGGCGGCGGCGGTGGCGCGGGTGGGTGCGTGTGTGCGGTGTGTGTGTGTGGGCCGGCTAGGCCGGCGGGATTAAATGCCCCCTTTGCCGAGTGCCCCCGATCTGGCACTCGGCAAAGAGGGTTTTTTTTAATTATTTTAAAAGTCTTTGTCGAGTGTCTTCTCATGACACTCGGCAAAGAGGTGATGTGCCGAGTGTCATTTTTTGACACTCGGCAAATCATATTTTTTTTACTTTTAACCTCCAAACTTTTTCTACAGTCCTAATACAACACCTGGTACTCCATGTTTCAATGGCACATTTCTCGGATTTTTTCTATATTTCTTTAATTTATTTCATTTAATTGAATTTTCTTGGATAATTCAAATTATAACTGCTAGTCATTCGAATAATGAAAAAAAAAATGAATGGAAAATGATATTCATGTTATTTAGTATAATGTGAGGCCGTATCCAGGAACAGACACCAATTTCGAACATCTTGTTCATGAAACATGACTACGAACTTGCAGTCGAGTTGTTTTTAAATTCTATAAAAAGCAAACGAAGTCCGAAAATCATGAAACTTGTCAAGATGTCATAATATCATATGTGGAGGCTATGATAAAAATTTGAGAAGGTTTCGCACAAGTTGTCATGTACGATGCTTGCAAACCGAAGAATCTCCGAAGAAGTTTCATGATTTCATGAAGAGACCGACGAGGTGGTAAGCATCGTACGTGACAAACTTACGCGAAACCTTCTTAAATTTTTATCACAGCCTCCACATATGATATCATGACATCTTGACAAGTTTCATGAGTTTCGGTCTTCGTTTGCTTTTTATACAATTTAAAAACAACTCGATTGCAAGTTCGTGGTCATATTTCATGAATAAGATGTTCGAAATTGGTGGTATGTTCCTGGATACGGCCTCACATTATACTAAATAACATGAATATTATTTTTCCATTCATTTTTTTCATTATTCGAATGACTAGCAGTTATAATTTGAATTATCCAAGAAAATTCAATTAAATAAAATAAATTAAAGAAATATAGAAAAAGTCCGAGAAATGTGCCACATTGGAACATGGAGTACCAGGTATTGTATGAGGACTGCAGAAAAAATTTGGAGGTCAAAAGTGAAAAAAAATATGGTTTGCCGAGTGTCAAAAAATGATACTCGGCACATCACCTCTTTGCCGAGTGTTAGGAGAAGACACTCGGCAAAGGGTTAACGGTGGCGGCCCTTTGCCAAGTGGTCTGGTTTGCCGAGTGTCCGACGCTCGGCAAACCTGGTCTTTGTCGAGTGTTATTGTTTGCCGAGTGCGCGGCACTCGGGAAACCACCTTTTTACCGAGTGCCAGCTGTTTGTCGAGTGCTTTCTCTCTGGCACTCGACAAATATCCTCTTTGCCGAGCACCCGATAAAAAGCACTCGACAAAAAAGCCGTCTCCGGTAGTGGAAAACCACATGCATGACTTTAACTGAAATTTCATCATAGCATCGTTCATGGCAGAAGTTTACACACTCATAAGACAAGCACACTCTTTTCTAATTTGCTCTAGTTTAATCACCGGGGGACACAATCACAAATCGAAGAGGGTGTTTCGGACAGCTTCATTTCATGTTTTTCAGCTTTCCTCCATATTTTTAGCGAAACAGGTTAAGCTCCTCCAGTTTTTTTTAGAGTTGTTCCACAGTGGACTTTATGGAGCAGAGTTCATGGAGCAATCCCAAACGCACCCCCAAAAGTCAGTCAACCACCCCACCTTTCGTTTTCTTGTTGAATAGATTAGTACGATGCCTTAGAAAAAGTTTCTATAATAACATTGGTTGCAACTTGCAACACGTATTGCCTTAGAAACAGAGGATAGACATCGAGTCATTTGCATAGAACTAACGATGATAGAACCTCCCACCAATACAATAATACGACCTTGGAAAAGCAGGTCAATAACCATTAGGGTAAAGCTTTGCCACTACCACTACAAAGTAGAAACCAAAAGAGATGGAATCGATGTGCTTGAGTCTGAAAAACTAATAAGTGCATCCTGTAAGAGATTGAATCTTCTTCAACATCTGAAGACCATTTTGCAACCTGTAAGACTGTACAGGTGAATCAGAGGAAAGATATCATCGAAGAGCAGCTAGAGCGCTGGAAATTTCCCAAACCTACATAAACTGGTGCCGAAGAGGGCATCACTCATCAACCAAGCGCCAAGGTAAGATTTGCTTGTATTCTCAGACTCATGCGTCGCGACCTTGTACACTTAATATGGATCAGTTATTTATTGCCGAGTAAGGATTTGCAAAGTTTCAACGAAGGAAAGTAACTTGTTTGTTGCTCTGAACATTAATTTTGAACAGCTTTATATGTTGTGAATGTTTTTTACTGACACATGGTCCTTGTTTGCTTGAATTGTAGCTAGCTAACAATGTTACAACTCAGACTCATGCATGGCGACCTTGTACACTTGACATGGATCTGCATTATTATCCCAAATTTGAGGTTGTTGGAATCCTTTATGAAAGCCTATGTTAGAAACCAGCTGATCACGTCCGCGGCTATTTCTTTGGCGTTCGTTTGCTATTTGAGCTTCCTGTGGTTGATTGTCTCCTCGCTTGTGGTTGTGGACGCTTTACAAGTACCATGGACCCAAATTCGCAGATCCTGTGGTGCTTATATCAAAGCATCTGTTCTCATAATAATCGGTTATGCAATTTTACTTGCGGTAAATCCAAGGTATGTCAGTCTGCTCATATTGCCCGTCATCATGCTGGTTTTCATTGGAGCACTGTTCGTGATAGTCTCTATGAAGGGCAGCCTAGAACTGAAGTGCCACCAAGACAGTAACACTAGTGATGAGGTTAACAATGCGAGCAACGTTACTCCAGCTTCTGAAGAGGATGGTAATGGCGGCTTAGTAGGTGACAAGGACGACGGGCTGTTTCAAATAGCAGTAGTGCCATGCTGGTTACTATTCTGCACGGGGTATTTTAAGGCTGACAACTTGGTGTTCTCACAGTTCCTCCTCTTCCTCAGCTCCTCCCTGGGTGAGCTTGCACTGATGATGGCGAAGCTTCCATCCCAAGTGGCCCCGGCATTCGAGGCTGTCCACAGGGCCTCCCTCGTGGCGGTGTTGCTGACAGCGCACACCATGGCAGCGGAGCTGCTGGGTGATCACGTGGTGCTCGTTTGCGCGCCGGAGCTAGTTGTAGCGCTAGCATGGCTCGCCATCCACTTGGCCCACGGCGGCGCTACTACCGTCCGCGCCGTCGAGGCGGCTCTGCGCAAAGCTAACACTGCAGTGCTCGGTGTTGCGGTGCCTATCCTCACATACCTTGTGCCCAACAGAGATGAGTCGGAGGGGGAGACGAATCTGCTCTCGAGCTACATGTCGGCCTCGGTTGCTTGTGCCATTTCGGTTATTCTGCCATCCCTCTGTGTGTTCGTGCTGCGTCAGTGGCGGAGGCAAACTACGGCGGCGCCTTGGTCAGAGGTGGAGGGGTCGATCCGGCTGTTAACCTTCTGCCGAGATATCATGTTGAAAGCAGCAGCGATGTTCTTGGTAGCTAAGCCACTGGTCGATGTGCGGCTACGTTTGCAAATGCAAGGACTAGCGACCGACATATGGAGCAAATTTCTCCAAGGAAGAACATGACGTTGTTCAGAAGTTAATGGCGCAGGATCCCAACTAATTAGGCCCGCGTTCAGTTCAGCAAGACCTTCGTGTGATCCTGATTCTCCATGACAAACTTAGCGGGCTCTCGAGTCCTTAATAAACACATAATTGTGGCTGATTTATCAATAGTGCCATGTATGTAACTTCATTTCTTGTTTTTTTCCTGGCTTCAGAGTTTAGACATCCTTTTTCAAAAATGCATCAGGTCCCACTTATTACAAAAATGTAGACACCAATATCAATATCGGCACATGTCCCAAGGTACATTTAGCCTAAGAGTAAGCACAATGTATCCGGCTGAACTAGTCCGTGGGAGTGGGCCCCACGGCCGGTGGCAGTAGTTAAATTGCAAGCCACAATATATCTGGATTAGCCAGTCTATAGGACTGGGTCCCACGATGAAATAAAAAATGTCGCATCAACCTCCCGTATACCTTCGCGCAAGTGGAGGGAGAACTCCGTCCTCAACCTGTACGCCACCGCCACCGCCTCCGTCCCCGATCTCACTCCTTTCCACCAAATCACACCATGGCCTTCCTTGTCTACCTTCTCAAGTATTGAATCTACTAGGATCTGCATCTTCCCTGCGCTAATGTAGCCTACAAAGTCATATCGGCCGGCACCCATGGACGCCCGACGCAGCAACTTGGAGGGCGGCAACCTGGCCACGGATGGCCGGCGCAGCAACCTAGAGGGCGGCGACCTGCCCGCGGATGCCCGGGCGGCGACTCGCGTGGCGCGCGGACGCCCGACACTAGGATTTGTAGATAGGGTGGTCCAATGATTGTTTAAAGAAATTTAACCAACATATTGATACACAACACTACCGGAATCCTCAAATTTGCCAAGTGTTTTTATGTTTGCCGAGTGTATTCCCTCGGGCACTCGGCGAACAAGTTCTTTGCCGAGTGCCGCGCTAAAAACACTCGGCAAAAAAAAAACAGTGCGTTTTGCCGAGTGTCAAAACAAAAACACTCGGCAAAGAGGTTGTTTGCCGAGTGTTAAAAAAAATACACTCGGCAAAGAAATAAAATCTTTTTTCTGGAAAAGAAGGAAAAGAAAAAAAACAAAAAAAACTTTGCCGAGTGCTCAGATCTAAAACACTCGACAAAAAAAAGAAGGAGAAGAAAATATTAAAAAAAACTTTGCCGAGTGCCCCATCTAGAACACTCGGCAAACAAAAAAATATCCTACTTAACCTAACCGCGTCCCCAGCACCCCACCCGCCCTCCGGTCCCCACCCCTTCTCTCTCCTCCCGGCCCCCAATGCCCCCTCTCCTCCCGACGACGCCGCCTCCCTCCCCTCCTCTCCCAGCCGCCCTCTTCCCCTCCGGCCGCCTCCGCTCCCGGCCCCCTCATCCGGCTCCCCCCTCCCCAACCTTCTTCCCCAGCGCGGCCCCTCCTTCCCCTTCTTCTTCCCCGACGGCGGCCTGCCCCTCCCTCCTCCCCCCTTCTTCTTTCTGCTGCGGCCGGCCCCTCCCCTCCCTCCCCTTCTTCTCCCTGGCCGGATCCGGCCCCTCCCCTCCCCTCCTCCCTTCTTCCGCGCCGGATACAGGCCCTCCCTTCTTCCCTGCCCCTCCCTTCTTCCCTGGCACAGCTTCCCCACCGGCGAGATCCGACGGCCGGTGCCACCCCCTCCCTCCCTCCCCCGACGGCGAGTTCTAGGGAGGGGCCCCGGTGGCGGCGCACCCAGGCGGTGGTGGAGGGGTGGACCGGCGTTGCGGGCGCGGCACGACGACGTGGCTTTGTGGGCTGGGCGGGGTGGGGCGCGGCACGGCAGCTGCCTCTCACCCTCGCGGCGCCCGGATCCATGGCATGGCGTGGTGTGGCCTCTCTCCCTCGCCGGTGCTCAGATCCATGGTGGCAGCGGGCGGAGGCGGTGGCCAGCGAGCATAGGTCCTCGCGGCAGCTGTCTCTCGCAACGTGGATCCAGGGCGGGCCGGTCCCCACCAGCGTCCCCCACCCGCGGAGGCGGTGGCCAGCGCCGGTGCGAGCGGGGTGGCCGGATCCAGCTCCCTCCCTCGTTCGCTCAGCACGGTGGCGTGGATCCAAGGCAGACAAGGTGCCCGTGGATCCAGGGCAGGGAAGGCGGCCACGCCGTCGCTCAGCATGGCGGCGCGGGCCCAGACTCCCTCCCTCGCTCGGTGGCGGCACGGATGGAGGCATGGATGGAGGCGGAGCAGGAGCCGGTGGTGGCGTCCGATGGCTGATGCTTTTTTTTTTAATTTTTTTCAAAAAATGTTTGCGAGTGCTTTTGGGGCACTCGGCAAAGTCTTCGCCGAGTGTCCGACAAAAAACACTCGGCAAAACAGCGTTTGCCAATAAACCATTTGCCAAGTGTCGTTTGCCGAGTGTAACACACGGCAAACGGTTTGCCGAGTGTTTTGGGGGCTTTGCCGAGTGGGCACTCGGCAAAGCTCCATTATCCGTTTGCAAATGCAAGGACTAGCGACCGACATATGGAGCAAATTTCTCCAAGGAAGAACATGACGTTGTTCAGAAGTTAATGGCGCAGGATCCCAACTAATTAGGCCCGCGTTCAGTAAAGCAAGACCTTCGTGTGATCCTGATTCTCCATGACAAACTTAGCGGGCTCTCGAGTCCTTAATAAACACATAATTGTGGCTGATTTATCAATAGTGCCATGTATGTAACTTCATTTCTTGTTTTTTCCTGGCTTCAGAGTTTAGACATCCTTTTTCAAAAATGCATTAGGTCCCACTTGTTACAAAAATGTAGACACCAATATCAATATCGACACATGTCCCAAGGTATATTTAGCCTAAGAGCAAGCACAATGTATCCGGCTGAACTAGTCCATGGGAGTGGGCCCCACAGCAGGTGGCAATAGTTAAATTGCAAGCCACAATGTATCTGGATTAGCCGGTCTATAGGACTAGGTCCCACGATGAAATAAAAAATGTCGCATCAACCTCCCGTATCCCTTCGCGCGAGTGGAGGGAGAACTCCGTCCTCAACCTGTACACCACCGCCACCGCCTCCGTCGTCTCCATACCCGATCTCACTCCTTCCACCAAATCACACCATGGCCTTCCTTGTCTACCTTCTCAAGTATTGAATCTACTAGGATCTACATCTTCCCTGCGCTAATGTAGCCTACGAAGTCATATCGGCCGGCGCCCATGGACGCCCGGCACAGCAACTTGGAGGGCGGCGACCTGGCCGCGGATGGCCGGCGCGGCAACCTGGAGGGCGGCGACCTGCCCGCGGATGTCCGGGCGGCAACTCACGTGGCGCGCGGACGCCCGACACGGTAGCTAGGATTTGTAGATAGGGTGGTCCAATGATTGTTTAAAGAAATTTAACCAACATATTGATACACAAGTATATGAATTATGAAATGCAATATGTTTATGTTAAAGTGAACATACAAACATCATAAAATAAACGAGCTAGTCTAGCTTCCTTAATGTAGAATTGTAGATTACATACCTAAGATAGTTGAAGAACAGTACATCACTACTTTCTTTTAGGCTAGCTTGCGCCTTCTAAGCCATGAAAGTATTGATTATTCCACCGTCACTCAATTGTAAGAAAATATCTTACTTAACAAATTTGTAAGAGAATCGTAAAATATTTCAATTTATTATTCTAATAATCCAATACTGCATAAAAACTCCTACAATAATGTCCTATAAGTAGTCCAGTAGGGGGCTTCAACCCCCTCCTGTTTGCCTCAAAAAAAATGTCCTATAAGTCAAGAATCTAAATCAGTATCGCATATCATGTGGTTGTGGCTTGTGCATTTTTTTGTCATGCTTTCATATCGATCGCTAATCAGCTGCTTATTTGCTTAGTTTCTAGGAGAGAGCTTGAGAGCAAAAAAGGGAAAGGCGAGCCGGCTAATTGGCTGGAGAGTTGTAGACATACGGGAGGACTGAATGTGTGTGCGATGTACAGCTGTAGTGCTTCTCGCCGCCGGAACTCTGTTGGTTGGGCATGGTTGCAACTGGCAGGGACGAATACGAAGGGAAAGGGACAGATGTGGAACGGATGGCCGCAATTCACAAGACGAATACGAAGGGCCTTCTGCCTTCCAACGGGCGCATGCGCGGCTGCTGAGCAATGGGCGCTGGGAGGGCGACTCACCTTCTGAAGGCCAAAAGCTGATGATTAGGGTTCTTAGTTCTTACTAATTCCTATAAACCTTGGCTGGACTGCAGGGTGGTCCACGGACCATAGGGACCACCCTGTAGCTCCGCCCCCTGGACACGGCAGGCACGCGGACGGCCAAGTCGCATGGACTCCCGAGGTGGTGACCTCTTGTGGCTTGGGGACGCTGGGGCATTGACATCGTGGGGTACTCCCAAGTTGAAGACCGAGCACGATCTATGCCTCTGCATCTCAGCAGGTATCTCTACCTTCAATCTCGGCTATATTACTACTTCAGTTTTTAGTTGGAAAAAACCAGAATCTTAGTTTGTAGGCAAACAAACTACAGTTGGTTGGAAAAAACCAGAATCTTAGTTTGAGGTATCTATTGCCAACAGTTTTAAATAGGTGTGTTATACTTTTTGTCTCTTGCTATTTTTGCTTTCATTGACATAGCTTCATGATATATAACCATATTCTGACTTGGTTGGTTGCTCAAAGGAGATGGTGCAGCAGATTTTCCTATCCCTTTCAGCCTTGCCTTTACTTTCTTCTACCCCTCATGACGTTCCTCTTTACTCATGGTTTCCCCCTCTGTGTCTTGGTTGGATGAAGAAGTGTACGCTTCTGAGTTAGATAGCTTGGTCCTTTTTGTTGTGCTATCCTCTTGGATGATTCTGCGCCATTTGGACATCTCCCTGGCCACTTTCCATAGGTACTCATATATGAAAGACCTACCCATGTTTTGTCCCTTGAACATCTCATGGGATGTTTTCAGGACCATGTCATCAGATTGGTCACTGCTGCATGCACTCATAGCTCGAGCATAAGCCCCACTGAACTTTGTGATATCCCTCTTCACATAC